AAAAAAAAAAAAAAACGATAAGGAAATCTGTTCCAAAAAATAAGGAAACGATAAAATCGTTTAAAAAAAAAAAGGTAAAAATCGGATTGAATAAAATCTCATCTCATCTTGTTTTGGAAGTTAAAAAATAAGATTCCTTTAAATGAGGAGTTCACAATCGGATTTTCGGAGTTAAAAAATAAGATTCCTTTAAAAATCTGAATTTTTTTTTTTTTTATTTCAAACTATTTGAAAATATCATGCACGTAAAAAAGGCGGCCCAATGAAAAACCATGCACGTAAAAAGAGCGGGAAATTGTACTTACCTAAATTTTATTTTACCTTAACTCTATTTTATATTAATAGATATGTATTTTAAAAGTTGATAACTTTTGTATTTCTTATCGGTTTTACATATATAATATATCAAATTAATCATCTTTTGATGATCTTCGATTTGACATCCACATTGTATATATGAAATAAATAAATTATATTTATCTTTATAATAATAAAAAATAATATTATTTATTAAAATTCATTGAAAAATAATTTTATTTCTCAATTGATATATTTATATGTAATGTAGTTATATATTGTAAGTTAAAAAAATTAGTATAATATAACACAAGTAAGTTGCACAAATAAAAAGTGTCATAATAAAAATATAATAGTATATATATTCTTGTAAAAGGTATTTAAATTTTCAAACTACTTTTTTCTCATTAATTTTAGATTTTAAGAAAAAAAATTAACAAGCACCCGTGTAATATACGGGTGTTGTATTAGTAAATTTTAAAAAGGGAAAATTCCGATTTGGAGTGGAGGTTAATTTCAAGAATTCGTACAACCTTGCAATCTCCCCTTTCCGTCCTCCACAAAAACATCGTTGCGAAACCACCAACTCCGGCGTCGTTGCCGCACCTTTATATGAACTTAAACCATCGTTCAGTATTACAGAATCAATCATTCAATAATCAAAACCCAGTCACCAGTGCGTCACCGTCTTCTGTCTCACTCTGCATACAGAGCGAACAGAAAGAAAGGATCACCATAATTATCCCAACCCTTATTAACTATCTTGTATTTCCGTAGAAATATTCTGAAAAAACAAAGGACACCCAGTTGAGAGAGAGAGAACAAATAAAAAAA